CTAAGACGTGACCAGCCAGAAGTTTAAACCCAACGAATTTGTCGTTGGTAAACACTCTTCTGATAGCTTGCTTCGTTTAGCAGCGTCTGGTCGTCTTTCCTTAAACTATGGGACCAAAATGTACAACGTAGCAATAAAGAAATATAGTACAATGAAAATTTCTGTTCCTTGCGAAACTTCGTCGTTCTTTTCCAGCCGTCCTGGAAAAGAGGAAAAATAAAACGTGTGAGTGCATGTCAAAAATACACTCGTACTTGCGTAAGGACACAAGATGAGCGGGAAAAAATAAACTGATACACTTACAAACAGCGTAAAAGCGATCGGAAAAAAGGTTTTCTTTTGGTTTTTTTTTAATATATAAATATATATATATACGCTCAAAAAAAATAATAAAAATGTTTTGTTTTTTTTGTTTTGTTTTTTTTTATAAATAAAAAAAAATGAGCATATTAAAAAAAAAATTTATAATAAACAATGAAAGGGTAATTCAAGATAAAGCTTATGTCCTACGTGCAATATTCGTTAAGATGTTCTGGAAATCTTACTCGTCTTCCAGAACGCGTTGTTTTAGGTTTTTCTATCAACGTTGACGAAGTATCAAGTTGTGTGTCGGTTGTCGTGTAGGGTACTACGAGTGTAGTAGCTGTGTCGTTTGCTTGCACCGAAGGAAAATCGACGTAGCTAGGGTTTCCTTCTAGGTACGCAGCTTTGAGTCGATCGATACTGATGCTATCTTTCGTACCGTTCTTGTCGACTACATAGTACTTAGGTTCGCGTTGAAGAACTTTGAAGGGTCCTTCGTATGCTGATTCGAGGGGTCGTCGATGTGAGTCTCCACGAACGAAGACGTGTGTACTATGTCGTAGTTCGGGTTGAACGAAAACATCAGTTGATTGAGGTCGAGTGTGAGCAGGTTTAACTGAACGCATAGCGTTTGTAAGCCTACTCGTGTAAGAGTTTAGATCCATGTTCAATGAAGAAGCTGAAGGATCCACGAATTCTCCTGGGAGTCGGAGTGTCGTTCCGTAAACGAGTTGAGATGCCGTGTATCCAATGTCAGCTTTCACTGCATTGCGGATACCTAGCAAGACGAGTGGAAGAGCGTCTGTCCACTGTGAAACGTTTGAAGCTGATAATGAGGCTTTTAGTTGTCGATGAAAACGTTCTACCAACCCGTTTGCTTGTGGGTGGTAGGCGGTCGTTCGGAAGCGCGTGATTCCTAAAAGTGTGGTCAGACAACGGAAAAGTCCAGATTCGAACTGGCGTCCGCGGTCTGTAGTGATGGTTGAAGGGCAGCCGAAATTTGCTACCCATCGTTCGACGAAAGTGCGAGCCACTGTTTCAGCAGTAATGTCCTTAATCGGTACTGCTTCTGGCCATCGAGTAAAACGGTCTACGCATGTTAGGAGATATGAGTATCCGTTCGAGTCGGGTAAGGGTCCTACCAAATCTAGATGGACGTGGTTGAAACGAGCGTCAGGGGTTTTGAAAGAACCTAAGGGGCATTTGTTGTGTCTGATTACCTTAGATTTCTGACAGCTTACACAGGAGCGTGACCACTCCCTCACGTCTTTATTCATGCCAGGCCAACAAAAGCGTTCGGCTATAAGTTCGATTGTTGCACGAGCACCTGGATGAGAAAGATTGTGCAACGTATTGAAGACGTTGCGGCGATAGTGTTTTGGTACAATCGGACGATCCCTACCTGTAGATGTGTCACAGAGTAAGGTTTCCTTACCTGTTCCCATCTGCCTAATACTTAGTTTAAGAGTTGTCGAGGATAACTCATCTTGAAGATCAATGTCTTCTTTTTGAAGCTGAGCGAGTTTAAGAAGGTCGATTCCTTGGGAACTGTTCAAGGAGCTAATTCGAGACAAGGCGTCTGCGACTACATTGTTTGCTCCAGAAATATGTTGTATGTCTGAAGTAAACTGCGAAATGTAGTCGAGTTGTCGAGACTCTCGCGGTGAGTACTTGTCTGAAGATGAATTTAAAGAGAAGGTAAGAGGTTTGTGATCGGTAAAAAGCGTGAATTCTCTTCCTTCGATGGAATGTTGAAAATGCCGTACAGCACAATACATAGCTAGGAGTTCCCTACTGAACGTGCTGTACCTAGATTCAGCGTCTAGCAACCGTCTCGAGAAAAATCCTAAAGGTTGCCACGAGTTGTTAACCCATTGTTGTAAGACTGCTCCGATTGCTGAGTCGGATGCGTCTACGGCGATACTAATGGGCGCTTGACTGTCCTGATGAGCAAGCAAGGTTGCTTTAGCGATGTGTTCCTTAACTGTGGAAAATGCTTTACGGGCTATGTCGTCTAAACTAATTGATTTCGCATTTCCACGAAGCTGATCGGTCAACGGTTTCATTAGGGATGCGCATTTAGGTATGAACCGTCTATAGAAACTTACGAGTCCGTTAAAAGTTCGCAACTGCTTGATCGTGGTCGGTTCTGGGTAATCCAGAATGGCCGCCACTTTGCTCCTAAGGGGTCGGATGCCTTGGGCATCAATGGTGTGTCCTAAGAAGTCTAAGCAGTTAGTTCCGATTTGGCATTTCTGAATGTTGACAGTAATGCCATGCCTTTGAAGTCGATCGAAAACAATGTCCAGATGCTTGAGATGCGATTCTCTGTCCGGACTTGCTATTAGACAGTCATCAACATACGCATGTACGAAGTTGAGACCTCGGAAGACGTCGTCTATAAACCTTTGGAAGGTTTGAGCCGCGTTTCTTAAACCAAAAGGCATTCGTAGAAATTCGTAAAGACCGAAGGGAGTGATGATGGCGGTTTTAGGAATGTCGTCAGGTGCCATCGGGATTTGGTTATAAGCTTTAACCAAGTCGATTTTCGAAAAGACAGTTGTACCCTTCAAGGTAGCTGTCAAATCGTGAATATGAGGCAGCGGGTAACGATCGGGAATGGTTTTAGCATTCAGACGCCGATAATCACCAGTTGGCCGCCAATCATTGCTGTCCTTTTTAGGGACCATGTGCAATGGGGATGCCCATGGACTATTCGATGGTCGAATTATTCCTAGGTCCATCATGTGATTGAATTCGTTTTTAGCTAACCTAAGTTTTTCGGGAGCGAGTCTTCTGGCTTTCGAAAATACAGGTGGTCCTGTAGTCGAGATGTGATGTGTAACATTGCTGGTTACACAAGGTAATTTCGATTGCGATTGGTATATCCCGGGGTATTTGTCGAGTACTGCTTGGTACAAGGGGTCTATGGCGTGCTTAATCGTGACTGGGGATAACCTGCAACCAGAACAAGGAGTTACGCAAACGGACAACTTAGTGTTTCCGTCTATTAACCTTCGTGAGCGTGTGTCGATGAGTAGATTGTGGTGTTGTAACAGGTCAATACCAATGATTGGCATAGAGACATCTGCAACCACGAAAATCCAGTGTATGGGTTTACGTAAACCCACGTTAAGGTAGACGTACCTTTTACCGTAAGTAGCGATCGGCTTTCCGTTTGCCGCCTGTAAACTTAAAACAGACTCGCGAAGTCTGTCGTCGAGATTTGCTGGAAGAACGCTAACTTCTGCGCCAGTGTCGACGAGGTAGCGAACTTTCGTAGTCACATCCGTGACATATAAGAGGCGGCTGTGTTCGCCGGCTACGGTTGCCGTTAACGCGTGCCGGCTGGGAAGTTTCCCGAACTGTTTTTCGTGTCACTCGATTTCGGGGTCGGATAATTGCAAGGTTTCCTGCAGTTTCTGGAAAACTTACCGTACTGGTTATGATACCAGCACCAGTCGGGATTGTCTGTCTCTCGTGGTCGAGAGCCAGATCGCTTACGTGAGGCACTTCTACGCGGGGTTTTTGACCGACTACGGTCATTGCGAACTCTAAGATATCGTGTGAGCGTGTGACATAGTTCGGCCATGTCAGTCGAGGTCGATTGGGGTTTTTCTTTGACGGAAAAAACCTCGGCCTTAGAAGATCTAGTGATTTCCAAGATTCGATCGGCAGATGCAGCTAGTTCATCTATGGCATTGTTTTGAAATGAGACAAGCACTGCCTGCACCTGTTGAGGGAGTTTAGACAAGAAAAGTTGTCTAAATAGGCCATCATCGAAAGTTCGTTGGCCGATGACTTCTTTCATTCTAAGCAACATGTCCGTCGCAGAACCATGTTGCAAGTCGATATTGTTAAGGAGTTGGTCTAACCGTTGTCGATCAGTTAGGTCTCCTCGTTTTAAAATCGATAGCTTAAGCGATTCGTAAGGTTCGGAAACATCACTAGTGAACATACTAGGTGTTACGTACCTGTTAAACTCGCGCGGTAACGCCTTAACTACCGCGAGGAAACGTGTGCGCGAGTCCGTGATTCCGTGCATGCAAAAATCGGCTTCTGCATAGCAGAACCAGGACTCGATATTGTCGGGCCAAAATGGCGTTAACTGAATCGAAATAGGGGGAATAGACTTGAACTTAAGAACCTTGGGTGAGTGTTCCGTCATAGTAATATAGATATCGAAAAATGTCTAAGTAAAATATATCCGAGAAAAAAAATTCGCGAAAAAAGTATATCACAATATATAAAATTCAAATAAAGAATAACAATGAATAATAATGTTCCAAAATGGAACAGACTCACAGTATATTGACTTGGTGTACCAGATCACGTCGGGTTCACCAATGAGGATGCAACGGATATTCTAGTTTTACAACTAGATACCAGTAGCACCTTCTAAATTCGGTTGTTACCAGTCAGATAGAAAATCAGAAGTCAAACGAGAAGAGGCAGGAAAGATATATTTGATTCGTTACCAATATATCGAGGACCTTTTCTATGAGCTGGCTAATGAAACGTAGGAGCTGTGTCCCACGCAGTATTGAAACGTGATCTGGTGCGGATGCATGACCGAAAGCCTTCAGCTAAACAAGTCCACTTAAACAACGTGGTCAGCATCCAATGTCGAACACTTAATGAGCTATTGATTTTGGGGAATTATTTACAGCTACAATGTATATATTTCACAGATCGATATAATATCAAGTGCTCGTCGTAAAATGCTTTCTTCTTTATACGAGAGCTTATCATGTCCTTTCAAGGCCATCCATTTGCAGCACAACTCATATGTTTATATTAGAACGTATCGGTTTTCGAGGGTGAGAACAAGTTTGCTTTATATTCTCTTAGGAGCTGTATTTTTCATGTATGGTGTGTTTTTACGAATTCATGTAAATTTCCATAACATATGAGGCTTGTTTTGTCTCGTGCATCAATAGTGTTCTTCATATCACATAATGCGAACAAGTGACTTCAAATGATAAAGTTTAATAACAGTTTCAAGGCCTTTTGCATTGTATAACGGCTGCGTTAAACTTTATTCAATTTGAATTGACATAAAACGTTATATATTTGGCTAATGAAGCTCACAATTGTGATGAACTAAATAAATTTAAACGTTCTAATAATTGTCTTCAGTAATAAGGATAGTATGTAGGTGGATCTGTGTTAGATCTTTCGGTATATTTCCAAGTAGCTATCCAGTCTCTCCGTTTTAAAAGTACAGTGATGGTTCTGTATGACAATTAGAAGTATTCGAATTAATATACGAGTTAGGAATCCATAGAATAGTGCAATTCAAGCCAAAAAGAACTAGGTGAGCACAAAATAACTCACTGTATTTAGAATTCGAAATCAGGGAGAGGTCAATTATAAAAAGCTTATTAGATCATACAAACACCACAACCTCAACAGCTTAAAATAGAATCTAGGTTTCTGTAGTCAATTGGACGTCTTCTCAGGTTCATTGTACGTCCGTCAGACTATGTTTGGAATGCATTCTCTGTCTGATCTAGAATATGCTCTTTAGCATTAAATTGAACAACTGAAGTTGCAACAAACGCACCTTGGTCTTCGTGATGCATTCATTTGTTGTCACATCTGAGTCACAGATTTATGGATCTTGAAAATACAACTAGTTTTCTAGTTTCACAACTAGCGACCAGTAACACCGTCTATTTCCAAAGCTTTCACTAACCAATGGAAATCAGAAGTCAGACGAGAAGATGTAGGAAAGATATATTTGATATGTTATCAATATATCGAGAAACGTTTATTCTGATCTGGCTAGCGAACGTAAGAGTTTTGTCCCACGCTGGTTCGAAACGTGATCTGGTACGGATGCATGACCGATAGCTTTCATTTAAAGAAGTCCACTTAAACAATGTGGTCAGCACCCAATGTCGAACACTTAATGAGCTATTGATTTTGTGGAATTATTTACAGCTACAATCTGTTTCGGTAGGTCTTCCATGGATTGTAGAAAAGTGATTCTTTTACGAAAACATTTTTGTCTGATAGATTTCATTAGTTTTTTTACGTTCAGTCTGGTAATTCTGCACTGATAAACTTTCTCCTCTCAGGGTATTTTATCTTTGCATCAATAGTAGAATCAACTTCTGTTTTTAGGGATTGCAAATTTCTGGCCTGCACATGGGCATGAGGGCGCTCTGAAATCATGCATATTTTTAATCAGTTCAATTCTGTAACTCACAGGTCATCAAAAACATCATTAGAACCATTTTCATTAGTCAATAAGGAGAGCTGACTCTGAAGCATTCTTAAATTTTATAAACCTAATATAGACGGTCCAAGCTCAGTAATGAGAAATTCACAATTTTTAGCTGAAGATTTATCATTTCTGATTAACAGATTACAATATCCCGGGATAAAAAGTTTATGACAGGTGATACTTGAAATAGGAACTTTGGTAGGTATAATTATACCATTTAGATTTAATGAACTCAACTTCTCAATCGAAATGACGGACTTGATACTACCAATGTCGACAACAAAACCATGAAAAACACCACTAGATAGACATGATCGTTTTTGAATATGAAGTAACCTATTGGAAGTTGTAAATAAGACTAACACATAATCATTGGAACCACTTTAATCAACAGTATTCGAATTACAAAGTTTAGTATTAGTAGAGACGAAAGGGACAGTAGTTTTACAGATTGACTGAATGTGCTCCATTATATAACAATTAAAGCATTTGGCATGACGAAAGAATCATGAATTGCGTTAGTGATACTTAACATACAGTAAATATGTATCAAACTTGCGCTCATCTCTTTGATTAGCTTTGCGATTCCTTGTTGAATCACCTTCCGTACTTCCACGAAAATAAGGATCACTTATAAACAAATGCGAGTTTGATCAACCCTGAGATTGTCTTTCATCATGACGACTGAGCAAAGTGTTAGAAATTTTCATCGACTGGATATCAAGTCTATTCACTGCTTGGTAGTTAATATATGCAGTTCTGGCATCTTGAAAAGCACAGTTAGGAATTTTCTACAGCCCCCTCTTCAGATCTGGTATGTTAATTCTTGCAATAAATCGATCCCAGACCTGCACATGAAGTTGTTCACCAATATTGGATTTGGAAGCTTGTTTTTGCAATTCCAGAATAAATTCCTTAACCTTTCGGTCTATTTTGAAGAATCATTTCAGAAAGGTTTGCTCTTTCATTCATTCAAAACCAGTACACTTTACATGATTTATTGAAAGCTCCTTGAGAGATGCATAAGAAACTGAAATAGGCGTTCCTGGAAATGCCAAAGCTTTTAATAAGCAGTAGGCATCCTTCCGAATGAATGTGAGGAAACGAGGGACAATTCCGTCGTCTTTCACACTATTCTTGGTCATGCTTTGAATTTCTTACCTTTCCATGTGATTTTCTAAGGCTTCAGAATTTCAATACATGTCCAAATGTTCCATCACAAGCTCTATCACGACGGCAATGTGATTATTTGAAGTGTTTGGCTTATTATGAGAATTAGGAATTCCTAGAATAGTGTAATTTAAGCCAGAAAGAACTAAGCGAGCACAAAAGAACTTACTGTATTTAGAATTCGAAATCAGGCAGAGGTTGAGTACAAAAAAATTATTAGATCATACAAACACCACACGCTGATACGAACTGCTCTGGTTAGACGTTCTTGTCATTGACCACTTCAAAGAAAGATCGAAACCGTACTTCAAGTTTGTTGGATCATGGTTTTTGAACCTTCTTGTTATGGACTCGGAGATAATTAGTTCTGGAGAGAACAGAAGGATAAAACATTATAACACACATGTAGTTATTAAACATAATGAATGCCAAAATTAGTTTACCTCGCGTTCTAAGCTAAAGTAGGAGAAAAAGGTTCAGATGTTTTAATTGCTCATTGTAAAAGGGTTTAAAAAGACCCTTTACTAATCTTGTTAAAGCAAATGATATAAAAAACACAACAACAAGCCATTGATGGATGAAATGAATATATGAGCCATTAAAAAGCTTTTTGCGAGTTAACAAAAGTAGCTTGTCACACACCACTGAATGCCGGCCCAGTGGTCTATCGGTTAAGTGCTCACACGGGAGACTGAAAGGTTCTGGGTTCGAACCTTGCGAGGTGGGATCGTGGATGTGCACTGCTGAATCGTCCTACAATAGAACGAAATGGCCGTCCAGTGCTTTCAGGTTTTCCATAGTGGTCTAGCTTCAAATGACACATGATCTCAACTATAGAAGATATAGAAAAAACTGATGACCTAGTTCAGGTTTAGAATTTGTAGACAAAAGACTACAAAACAATAAAAGCTTATACAACTATATTAAGTAACTTTAATCTCTTAAAATAGAAGTAATTTTATAATCCTGAAAGTTTCATTTAAAAATCAATCTAGACATTACTATACATTTTGTTTCATTGCAACATTCGCTAAAATATATCAGACTACTAAAAGCTAACAAGTTTTCTTCACACCTAGGTCATCAGTATCTTCATTTGTTTAGTTAATTTATGAAAAAAACTTATAAACCGATTAATATAAAATTGAATCTTATTTACAAGTTCAAGGTGAATAATTGTAACATATTATTAGCTCGCACGCAAGACTGATAGGACTTGGGTTCGAATCTCGCGAGACAGGATCGTGGATGTACACTGCTGAGGAGTCCTACAATAGGACGAAACAGTCATTCAGTGCTTCCAGGTTTTCCATAGTAGTCTAGCTTCAATTGATTCATGATCTTAATTATTAAACTTTTTATTATCAAGAAGTATAAATTTTCTCAATTATAATTAAATTTATTTATTATTCCATATATTGCAATCAATAAGTATGATATTAGTATTATAATTTTGTAAAGTAAAAAATAAGTTATTAACATATTGTACTCCACCTGTAGTCTTTCCGGGGGCTGCTGTCGGTCCTAAGCCCGGATAAAGGAGGAGGGTTGGGTAGGTTGTTAGTGTCCCCATCCTGTAAAAAACTAACTTGCTATAACAGCCCCTAACCAGGAAAGATTATTTAAATCATTTTAACATATTGTACTACTTGTTCAATATTACTTTTGTTTGTTTCATATTCAATATGATGATTATTCAATGTAATATTCGTTTTACTTTTCATTATTGTATTAGTTTATTTACTATAACATTGATTGATATCAATGTGATGTTTATTAAAGATAAGATATTCTTTGTATTAACTTAAGATGATTTATGATTAACGTGATATACAGCACATGATTTGTTAGAATTCTGGGCAATCAATATATAAATGAATGTATTTTCAACTAGGATTGTCTTTATTTGCCAGTTTTCTTTGACTTTACTTTGTGTCATGGGAATTGTAGTAGTTCTTCGTTTTTCAAGTACAAGTGTGGTGTGAGTTACTGATATCCACATAAGTAGTATATGTTGATGGTCAAGTGTTGAATGTATTTCAGTAGAAGATCGATAAGGAGAGAACAGGAACGGTACGCGATTGGTACGAAAATGCATGAACAATTATAATCGAAGACTATGAACGGATATTTGCAGAAGAAACAGTCGAGGTTGAGACAATCGATTGTAATTTTGCTAATTAACTGTTCACTATATAATTTTCATATTTTAATGAGATATTCTGTGATGTTGTGCTAAAAAGTATATCCGATTGTCCCCATACGTGTTCTTGTTCACTACACAAGTAATAAGCATCGTGTGTATAATAGTTATATATCCCAACTTTGTGCTATATGACCGAAATTACAGAGAAACTGCTGTAAACATTGGCAAATCTGACGGATGATCGTTATCTTTAGGAAATACTACGCATTTGTGGCTTAAAAAGTTTATAGTTAGTAACTTAGTAGATGATGACTTGATTTTAAACAACTACATAACACATAAAGTCACTAACATATAGATTTATCCTCATAAATTACTTACTTACACCTGTTACCCCTCGTCGAGGTGCATAAGCCGCTTACCAGCATTCTCCATCCAACTCAATCCTGGGCCTTCCTTTTCAGTTCTATCCAGTTGTTATTCATCCTCATAAGGATTCTTAATTTTTTTTTAAATTATAATTTAGCTCTCTAAACTAAAGTCTATCACTGTACCGATTTTATTCTTCTATTTCTTGACAGATAACAATTATGAATGAATCAAATGAATCGATAAAACTGGAGGGATCAATGTATACCAGTGTTATGACAACAACTACATTGTTTGTGACTTTATTTTGGACAACAATCACTCTATTATCATGGTTATTAAGAAATCTATTACTTTGGGTAACTTGGCACATAATGGTTTTATTTAATAACATTTTATTACTTTTTAAAAGTGTTCTTGTCTTACGGTTTCACGTTTAAAACGGACAAAATAAACTTCCTCCTTATATAGACTGAGATTGAAGTTATTACATTGGGAAGTTGATTTACTTATGAAGTCTAGGAACATGTATTGTTCGAAAGTAAAAAATCAGAATATCTACTTACGGAACAATGTATTCATAGTAAAACATTTGTGCTCTTTGGTTTCCAATATCAATGCTTAATTAGCTTACTTACTTACTTACTTACGCCTGTTACTCCCAATGGAGCATAGGCCGCCAACCAGCATTATCCAACCCTTGTGACGCATTCGTGTGATTTCCTCAATGTGTGTCCTATCTAGTTCCAGTGCTTCTTCCTGATTTCTTCATCCGTTGGAATCCGGTTTGTTCCCTCCCACAGTAGCTTGTTGCTGATAGTCTCTGGCCAGCGGATCCGAAGTATATTGTGTAGACAATTGTTAATAAATACCTGTATCTTCTGGATGATGGCTTTCATATTTCTCCACGTCTCCACCCCATACAGTAGAACTGTCTTGACATTTGTATTAAAAGTTTTGATCTTGGTGTTGGTTGACAATCGTTTTGAGTTCCAGATGTTCTTTACTTGTAAATATGCTGTTCTTGCGTTGCTGATCCGCGTCTTCACATCTACATCAGATCCACCGTGTTCATCGACGATGCTGCCCAGATACTTGAAGTGTAGTGAACAGAACACTGGTTGGGGACAATCGAATGTATTTAAGCAAAAGTTACAGTCTATCTCAGTAAATTCTGATAACCATACAATGAACAGTCAATTTGCGAATTAACAACCAATAGTCTCGATCTTCACTGTTTCTTCTTTAATTCCATTGTTCGTGCATTTTCCTTTTGATCGCGCTTCGTTTCAGTTCTTTCCTCATCGGTCTTCTGCCAAAATAAATTCTATGTCTGACCCACACCATATACTACTTATATGGATATAAGTAGACCACACCACAGAAGGTCTTCACATCCTTCAAAGCTTCTCCGTCAAGTGTAATTCGATTGGTGCATGTTGTGTTGTATAGGTTAGTCTTGCTTTTCCCTTTGTTTATATCGAGACCTACTGCTGCTGAGGCTGCTGCTACACTGGTCATTTTTTTCTGCATTTGTTTTTGCGTGTGTGATAGAAGAGCCAGATCATCTGTGAAGTCTAAATCGTCCAGCTGCATCCTACCTGTCTACTGTATCTCGTGTTTCACTCCAGATGTTAACGTCTTCATGATCCTGTCGGTCACCAGGAGAAAGAGAAAGGGTGCGAGTAAGCAACCTTACCTAACACCGGTCTTTACCTCGATTGAGTCGGTGAGTTGTCCTCCATGAACAATTTTGTAGTTTAATCCATCATAGGGATTCCGTATGATATTGACTATCTTCTCAGGCACGCCATAGTGTCTAAGAAGCCTCCATAGTGCTGTCCTGTCCACGCTATCAAACGCTTTCTCATTGTCAATGAAGTTGATGCAGAGTGATGAATTCCATTCAATCGATTGTTCCACAATGATTCGTAGGGTTGCGATTTAGTCTGTACACAATCGATCCTTATGAAATTCAGCCTGTTGATCTCGAAGTTGTGTGTCTACGGAGTCCCTTATTCTGTTTAACAATACCCTATTGAACATGCGTTTCAATATTAAAATCGCTTTTGATGGATCACCAAATCTTTACTTTTTTGGTTAGTGAAAGTTCATGTTAAAGATTCAAAATTTATGTTTCTATTTGACTGTTGATTTTTCTTTTGTACTAAATTATCAGATATTCTGAAACCGTCAACTGATGAATTACTTCACTATATATTATGTTAGTTTGGTTAGTTATTTCTTAAGTGACATCATTTGTTCATTAATTTAGAAAGTGAAAAATTCTTGTATACAACTTTGAATAAAATTGTAGTTTCAGTGGTGTCAGTAGTATTGTCAAGATTTTCAAATTCCAGTTCCTTGTCCTAGATTCAAACCTGTTACTCAGATGCTGTAAATCAACTTCTCTACTTAATGATTTGGTTGTAGTTAAGCAGCTAAATTAAGTTTTACGGCTATCTCACTTAACAACTTCTACGTCATTTACACTTCACAGTATCTTTTTCTCAGTCTAACACAGATGCACCACTTTTTGAATATCACAGATATCTCCAGTCAAAATCAAATATACTGATGTGTGGACGAGAATGACAATGATTGATTGTCTTGATGAGTCAGACATGTAGATAGTGTGACAGGTGTTATACGTGTTATATATTCACCTATCCTTATTATTATTGATTGACTATTCCCTGTTTTCGGATCTTGGTGTGGAAATATATTGACGTTCTAGTCAGGCTAATCTCATGTTCTTGATCTGAGTTGTGTGTTGAAGTCCTGTAGAATAGATGGCACTGGGGTGAGGGAATCTAGTGTAGATATTTGTCTAAGGTAAATTAACGTCCCACATACGTGTAATAAGTGAAAGGACTGTTATTACAAGAAGCCCTAGTGTTATAACAAGCATCCTTACGTTTATAACATATACTGAAGTGAGTTTTTGCTTCGTATAAGGCACATTTCTACCAAAATATCACATATTACTCACAAACAAAAACGACAGCATTTACGTACATCTACATTCATTCAATTACGTAAGCTGATTACCTTATTGAGGTTACTATGAAAGACGTAACAAGTCGAACTGTGTGAAACACAGTTCAATTGAACTGTGTTGGATATGATCACATTTTACATAGGAACAATGTAGAAGCCGTTTGTTATATCCCGTGAAGATTTATGAATGGTACCTTTTGAGAACTATTTATGAACCAATATGATACGTATATTTCCTATTCTATAATTGTTAAGTAACTAAACTACTCATATTCGCATCCCTCTTATATTATAAGCTTTATTTTGATCTATAGACTATTATTATACAATTTATCATTCCTGAATTAGACCCAGTCTATCAATTACTGCACGTAAGGCTTTTGTATAACATTGTTCTGATCGATAATTCATTTCTCTCTAATAGCCGAGAATCAGCACATTCATAAATATATATATATACTAAGTGGGCAAGAACGAACTCGATCGATAACACACCATTATTAATGATTTCATAGTTTAAGTTGCATGGTGTAAAATTATTCTTGCTGACCTTGATACATCTAATTTAATAATAACTTTTACTTACTTGTTTACAGGTTACCAACAAAACAGGCAAATGTATTTATTTGACTCTCTTATTTAATAATAATAATCACTTCATTTTTTGGGAAGACTCATTCTTTTACAAACCTTTTTGAACTCTCAATAGTTATGCAATGACTCTTTGTAGGTACAGTGGTTGGTTAGGCCGATCTCTATCACCTGAATTATCATTAACGTTAGTACATGGGATGAATGCCATGCCCCCCCCCTCGAAAAAAGAATGAAAGTGTTATGTAATGATTCTGCATGAGCAGTGCAAAAACAACTATCCAGCCCTGGTAGTTGTGACTTGCTTCGATGTAGCACTTTTCTCCAGAAGGGCCTACTAGGCTTCACCATGTTCCTTCCTTCCTACTAATCACTTCTTGTTATCACAGTGTTAATATACTCTAAAGTTTGTCTATTAAAACTACACAGTCAATGTCATTAACTATACTTACTTCACCTATTTTCTTAACATGATCATGTGAATGACTTCATGCTATATACTGTTATTAAGCATCATATCAGTAATTTATAATACTATGGTGTGCTACTGATGTCGACAGATATAATTAGTATGTATCATCAATCGAAAGTGAAATGCCTCGTGGCAGAAGGTTAGGAAGATCAAAGAAAAGAGAACGAAAACATACAATGATTGGTGTGGAAACGAAAGAACAAAGATTTCTGAAACGATTGATTAAAATTTTGTAAATGAAGAATTTACTATATGGTTATTGGATTTTAATAAGAAATTCTGTTATTTCCACAAATACGTTTGGTTGTACCCACTGGTGTTCTTATTCACTGCCATACCACTAGAGGATATGTTGTAATTTCTGTAATACGTTAACTATCTATCTATCTATCTATCTAACTGATAAGTCCGTTAACAAGATTATGTGCAGTTTGTTGCAGTACATATAAACTGTTCTCGGTTGTATAAGATTTAGCGTGATAAATAAACGAATCGAGCAACCACTCACCAATGTCTTCAGTGAGTTGATAACTCCCAACAGATCTGGTTGAACTTCACTGGTTACTGCTTCTCACTAGAACTCCAGGAAATACCTCATGGAGCCAGTCACTAGTGAGCATATGATCATTATCAGAAGGGGGTTTTGTGGTAATTTAAGTAATTTTTATGTAGTTGAAATTATGAGTCATTCGAATCTAGACCACAATGGAAAACCTGGAAGCACTGGAAGGCCGTTTCGTCCTATTGTGAGACGATTGAGCGGTGCTCATCCACGATCCTGCCTTGCGAGATTCGAATCCAGGACCTACAAGCCTCGCGCCAGAGAACTTAGCCGATAGACTACTGAACCGGCATCCAACGGTGTTAGACATCTCCACAAAACTCCCTTCTATAAATAAGTGAATCGTTTAAATCTAATCTTTTAATATAGTACGTTAACATTTTCAGGTTGCAACTTGCCCTTTATGAAACTCAAATGATCTGTGCTGTTCATTAATAACTTACTTACTTACTTACTTACTTACTTACTTACTTACTTACTTACTTACTTACTTACTTACTTACTTACTTACTTACTTACTTACTTACTTACTTACTTACTTACTTACTTACTTACTTACTTACTTACTTACTTACTTACTTACTTACTTACTTACTTACTTACTTACTTACTTACTTACTTACTTACTTACTTACTTACTTACTTACTTACTTACTTACTTACTTACTTACTTACTTACTTACTTACTTACTTACTTACTTACTTACTTACTTACTTACTTACTTACTTACTTACTTACTTACTTACTTACTTACTTACTTACTTACTTACTTACTTACTTACTTACTTACTTACTTACTTACTTACTTACTTACTTACTTACTTACTTACTTACTTACTTACTTACTTACTTACTTACTTACTTACTTACTTACTTACTTACTTACTTACTTACTTACTTACTTACTTACTTACTTACTTACTTACTTACTTACTTACTTACTTACTTACTTACTTACTTACTTACTTACTTACTTACTTACTTACTTACTTACTTACTTACTTACGCCTGTTACCCCTCGTCGAGGAGCATAGGCCGCTCACCAGCATTCTCCATCCAATTCTGTCCGTTCATTAATAACGACCCAATGTTTTTTTTCTAGAACTCATATTACTGAAGTCATATATGTCTCGGTCCAACATCCCTTAGCATGCATTAAGTTGCTTTATGAAATATGTAGCTTGGTACACTACACTATTGAAACAAATGTATTTCATTATTGAGATTCATCTGATCTTTATACATATTTATCAATGACTGTTATATTTCTATTTCAGCTATTCAACTCTGTCAATTTTACTCAAACGACTACGGAATCCACAAAGAGTTTGATTAACTCAAAGCTGCTTGCTAAATTTCCATTCGTAAATATCAAAAATCTAATATATGACCATCGTTATTTAAAGCCAAATTTATTGTTAGCCTTGTTAGATGCTGTGGCTACAATTGAACTTTGTGCATGCAGTTTAGAATGTTGGATTGTTCATGAAGTTTTCGGTTATTGGGGTTTTCTGGTTGCTATCGCTTTAAATTGTATTCGTTCAAGTCTATTTGTTTCACTGGATGCTTACGGAAATCCTTGTAATCCATGGTACAGGTGATAATATTTATATTCAACATTTTTAAATGAATAGCTTTAATCCTCATGTAGAGTTGGTTATTGATCTATTGAATCGAGGAAGTACTAGTTAGCACGTTTGAACCTTCTTAGCAGTATCACACCTATTGGAAGATCTTGAAATTTTGGGCATTCTTTAATGTGATCTCAGATAATGAAATTCGAATTCCATACCATACATAACTGTTTTTCATTGAATACAGATCTCCTTAAGTTAATACAAATGACATCCGGTTGTAGACCGATGTAAGCGATACATTATAATACAAACAATAGATTTGAGCAAGTCGGTCTTATTACCTGAAATCATATCATCAGAGAAGAATGCTAATGAAGATTGTTCATTTGAAAGTAACCCACGTTACGAATTGATTTCAGCCAAGTTAAAAATGAAGCAGATTTGATGGATGGAACTGGATGATGGTTACATGATATCCTGAAATGTTTCATTTTACTTGGCCTACATGTTTACTGCTGAAGGGTATAAACTGGAACAAAATAGTTACCCAGCACACTTAAATATTAGAATTCTTCATTGACATGTAACTATAGATTGGTTTGACTTTCAGTCCCTTGTACATATGTAGCTCCTGGAGCACTATTTGAATAAGACCTGAAACTTTAGATCAGTAAATAAGGTTGACAAATGTTGGTCTGAGACATGTTCCTAGGCTCAAACTACCTGATTGAAGTTCATGCTACAACTTCAAACAGTGATTGGAAACGTTGGTTTACATCATTCAGAATCTTTCACAACGGTTTAGCTCTATTTACTCCTTATATTTCTATAGATCTTCAATTACAACATTCTTCTATGCATATGCTCCTTTATGTCATTTCAAGCTATATTCTTGATGCTCATTATTTCTGGCTATCATTGTTACTAAATTGTTTAGATTCCTCCGCTTTTCGTCTTTTTAATTTCATCTCATTTTACGATTATATTATATTTGTTATGTAGTTGACTTTTGTCAAGACTTACTTACGCTTGTTACCCCTCGTCGAGGAGTATAGGCCGCTCACCAGCATTCTCCATCCAACTCTACCCTGAGCCTTCCTTACCAGTTCTTTCCAGTTATTTTGTCGAGACGCTATAATAAAAATGTCAAACTCCTTCTTGGATGCTTCTTCATACGTTTCACTATAGGATGCCTTAGCGATTGTTGAATATGAAGTTTTAAGTCATGGAGTAGCTCTGGTCAAATAAAAATTAAAAGGTAGAATGCATTGGACACCTGTTTCATCCAAGTATGGTACTTTTCAGTAGTGTACATTCATGACCTCATAAAGAATCAAAGTCATGACCTAGTTACCCAACTTCTCTAATTAATAAAAATTAAGATCGTTAACCATCGGACGTCAACTAAGTGATTTGATGTTAAGTTGCTTGTCGCGTGACCTGAAGGTTCTAGGTTCAGTCATCGAAGTGGTTCTGAATAGATATAAGGAAGAAGTAACATACTAGGACTAAGCAGCTGCACAATACTTACTGAATATCAGTGACTGTCTAACCGAAATCAGATTTGATGCTACTTTTATGATTACAGTTTATATCTTTTTCCTTATATTCAAGATTCCTACTTGGTCAAACACAACCGATATGGTTGATTTTCACATGGACATTACAACTTTTATCTGCGTCGATAGCTCTTAAATTATGTATATACTGGTGGTCATTACAATTGACTCTCTATCATTCAGCACGTTATGAATTATCATTAAAAATGTTAAATCCTGAAGATCTACTCAATTACACTTCAGATTTACAAGTTGCAGTCAATATTGGATTCTTATGTGAAGCTCTGGCAACTTTTATAGACTTATACATGGATAGTCTATTTTCGTGTATATTAGAAAGTTGTAATTCACAATACCTTAACCATGCTTCACAAATAGTATCTTCTACAAATTTAGTTCAATCGAAAGTGTCTAAAGCCTCGAGTCCTTGTGATTTAACACGGAAACAATATCTTACTTCTTATATTGTAAGATTATTGATTATTCTTACATTGGTAGCTTATGGTAAGTTGTATCTTACAATATAATTAAGTTACTAATTTATTAATCTTTCATGTACGCAAACTATTTTAAAAGTGGATGTGCACTGTCACTGAGGAGTCCAGAGAGTCACTAGTTTGTTTAAGTCTTTTTGATTAAACGCTATACTAGTCTCCTAACCTCCAAGCTAGAACTACACAGCGACTTGAACACGAGAGAAAAGGTACAAAATATGCAGGGAGCACTTTACTCCAAAGGTTCATTTATGTACAGAAAATATAGGGGTTTTATAGTATTTTGGAAGTCTTTGGGTTTTCCTGAAGAATTCTAGAATACTACTGAACATGATAGCAATGTAGTAATCAGCCAATCAAAACCTCTACATATGACTTTTTATTTTTTTTTTGGCGATATTTCTAGCAAAACTTCTAGTGAACGCTGATTGAATTAAATGCTTCTTAATGTTTCCTGAGCTTGTCATGTCTATTGCGAGGAATTTTCAGGATCATCCCAACAGCTTCCAAAACTCGTACGTTAGACAGTCACTCACAAAAATATAGTCTAATTAGACATCATATACTTTCAATAGTAAAATCGACAGTAATTTACATGATTATAAATATGACATTGATATTCTCTACACAATATTCATACAGGTATTCGTTAGGCATCGAAATCGCTTCCGAATTAACTGCTTACTTCTTAATGATCAACTTCTGTCTCAGCTCATAGTTTAATTAATACATTTTTGGTTATATGTTGTAGACGGCGTCGAGTCTTGACTGACTATCATGACCATTACAATAAGATTACACGCATGAAATCGACCTGATTCCTTTGATAGCTCGTAAACCAAAAAACTGTGATTAGTCCAGATAAAGTATATTTATTGGCAATCTCGTGGTACCGAATAAATACCGAGACACGCCAAAGATTACAGGCAATAAGAGTAGAGCGTAAGAAGGTTTGAACCAACAAGATGGATAATGGAACGAGAAGTGACTTTGATACAGTTAAACAAGTACAGTAAAACAATCGCTGGTACAATTGGTTATGATAATAATTGTTTCTATCATACCAATCGTGTTCTTGTCGAGAAAAACAGGTCACTACAATGTAATGCAAAGTATGTCCATCTACTTTTATAGAAATGTTCTATGGTGTATATAGATTATAATCAACTAAAGAAAGTGCGCCTGATTTATGTTGAGGAGATACAGAAAACTCCTCAAAAGAAACAACAACGGACAAACGCTCTGAAAAAGTTGAGACTCATCTTATCTAATCAGTATTCACTAGACGTTTTACCAAAAACATTTAGAATGAGAAAAGTCACATGTCGAGTTTCTGATTGGGTGATTATCTATACATCAGAGGGGGTTTTGTGGAGAATTTAGTATTTTCACAGTTGAAATCATGAGTCAATTGAAGCTAGACCACCATCGAAAACCTGGAAGCACTGGACGGCCAACTCATGCCATTGTGGGACTCCTCAGCAGTACGCATCCACGATCCGGCCTCTCGAGATTCAAACCCAGGACCTACCAGTCTCGCACCGGAGAACTTAACCTCTAGAACCACTGAGTCGGCATCCGATGGTGTTTATGTCTAGCTTCAATTGACTCACGCTTTCAACTATGAAAATACTAAATCTCCACGAAAACCCCTTCTGATAATAATCAATCATACTATTGTTTACTATTGTTTATCTCATTTATTTAGGTCTTGAATGGACAGGAATGTATTTAAATCCAGCTAATGCATTTATTCAATCATGGGGTATTGGTAATATTACACCAATAAATCATATTATTGTATATTGGTTTGGACCAATGTTTGGTGTTTGGTTATATACTATCATCGAAAAATGGTCTTCCACATTTATATCTAAAATTATTATGACACAGTAACTATGGTAACATGAATCTACTAAAAAAGAAAGGGAACTGTCTTTCAATAAAAGAAACTTTCAAAATGGTTGTCAATTGACCACATCAGATTCATATGACCATTGTTTACGACAAACTCTTTTGTATATTCAAATTTCATTTATTTTCATAGATTAACATACATTTTTTTTACTTCCTTAGTTTATATTTTATGTGTTTTTCTCTCCGTATACCACATGTATTTTGGTGTGTACTACTGATGTTGATAGATATAAGTAGTATGGTATCGTCATCGAAAGTAAAATACCTAAAGGCAAAAGGTTAAGAAGATCGAAGAAAAGAGAGCGACAACAAAAAATGGTTGCTGTGGAAACAAAGGAACAATGAAATCTGAAACGATGGATTGACATTTTGTAAATGAAGTAATCACTGTGCGGTTCTCAGTTGTTAGTAAGAGATTCTGTATTTATGTATTCAGATACACTCGACTGTCATCATTTGTGTTCTCATTCACTACAGCATCACAGCTAGTGTCGATCGTTATATGAAACTACCTACAGAATGTATTCAATGTTTGGATTAGTGGAAACCGACCATCATTAAAATGATTTGATAAATGCAATTTTGGTCACAAGTCAGTTGATTATACCCGTTTATGTTCTCGTTCACTACATTAGTAATTTAGTATTTTATTTTTCCATTGTATTTTGGGTTTTTTCCTTCTCAGTAACAGTTGAAAATCCTCATAGAATATTTCAAAAAAAACCCAAAAAATCTTTAAGCGAATAATCAATATTTAATGACTTCATTATCAGACTTAACAATGAATGATAAGTCTAAAATTATTGTAATATTTTACAGTTGCAATTATGAGCCGATTGAAGCTAGACCACCATGGAGAACCTAAAAGTACTGGACGGCCGTTCAGTCCTATTTCGTGGATTGGTTGAAGTTAGATATAAACACCGTTGGATGGAGGCTCAATGTTTCAAGAGGTAAAGCGCTCGCACGCGAGACTGATAGATCCTAAATACGAATTTCACGAGGCGGGATCGTGAGTGCGCACTACTAAGAAGTCTTACAATAGGACGAAAGGGCCATTCAGTGCCTCCAGGTTCCCCATGGTGGTCTCGCGTCAATTGATTCAAGATTTTACCTATAAAATTACTAAAATCTTCGCATAAAACCCCTTCCTGATATTCTGATACTTTTACGAATATCAAAATAAAGCATCCATTAATGAATTAGACAATGTTATCTGTTAAAAGGAAGAGAAAAGATAAACTTCGGCATAGGTTACAACATAACTACTTAAAAATTGTGCTATTTATAACCTAGAATAGGTCATCTATTAATATCAGTTTCACCTTATTCATTGATTAAGTAAATAAAAAAAAGTTACTTTATTTATCATTTATTAGCTTATATTATGTAATTGTCTATTTATGGTAAGTAATTTGATCTAATTCCATTGCTCTTCTTTCGCATCTAGTTATTTAAGGTTACAAATACTTGATGATATTATGATGTGGTTGGAGATAGTTGATATCAAATCCTATTTGACCTAGGTGTTGTACCAGTTCTTCCTTTCAATCTTGAGGGCATCGATGCTTGTTATAGGATTCTAATGCGGATTATCTAGCTTTAACAGAATGGAACTGTACCACTAAATTATTTGACCTTTGAATGACTTTCTATAGGACTGAAATATTTCTGTTTAATCAACCACTGACCAAAGTTATGTTTGTCAAGTTATTTTAGTGATGATTGGATTCCACTGATTTGAACACTGAATACATTCTGTAGGTAGTTTCATATAACGATCGACACTAGCTGTGATGCTGTAGTGAACGAGAACACAAATGGCGACAGTCTAGTGTATCTGAACACATAATTACAGAATCTCTTACTAACAACTGAGAACCACACAGTGAATACTTCATTTACAAAATGTCAGTCAATTGTCTCAGACTTCACTATTTCTTTATTTCCATGCCAATTTCTTTCTGTTCCCTAATTTTCTTTCTCGATTTTCTCGACCTTCTGCTGCCAGGCATTCTATTCCTGACTAGCGTTAAATACTGCTTTTGTCGATATAAGTAGCATGCACCACAATGCCACCGGAAATTAAGAAGGGCATTTAACATACTTTTTATTCTAGTATGAAAATTCTCAAACCCTATTGTCAGAAATTAAATCCAGGACTAGGAAGTTTTGCAGCGAACAAGTAACGTTCAGTATTATTGAATACAAGGTGGAAACTTTTATGATAATCAAACTAATAAATTTGTTGAAAGCGTAAGTCAATTGAAGCTAGACCACCAGGGAAAACCTGGAAACACTGGAAGGCCAATAATAATAATAATAATAATAATAATAATAATAATAATAATAATAATAAAAGCTTGGTTGCAGACTTATTTCGAAGATTTAAGGCTGTAGATAGAGAAAGACTTGTAAATAGGCTACTAGTAGGAGCGTAACCCACGTCATCTGCACTACTAATGTTAAATGTGCTTATGTAAATGCAGTTCCTGTTGATTATATTATTAAAAAAGTAGTTCGTTTAAGCTGATAAAAAATTGACTAGGACAGGGTTGGATGGAGAGTGCTAGTGAGTGGCCTATGCTCCTCAACTAGGGGTCACAGGCCCAAGTAAATAAGTAGTATTTTGTAGATACTTATTACAATGTGTTGTATGCTAGGGATGGTACTGATACATGCACTTTCTACATATGAGTAGAACCCTTTGTAAGAAAAGACGGGAAGTAAGAAACGAAGTTTACTTAACCAAACTGAATTATATATATTTGTAAATTAAGTGGTTCACGTCTCAGTACTTGAAAACGAAAGCCATTTTTTGACCAAACGTGTCAAACCATTAAGATGAATTCTCCTCAAATGCCCTGGTACGTTAGAACATGGAAAACGTCCGCTCTTCGAAATGCTCTCATATAGCCGCGCGTATACAGCCACTCCAAAGGAAGTACTACGCACTGCCTTCTCGCGCCAGGAGTGATGTTTACGAAATTGAGAGTAAGAAAAACGAATGTCCGGCACTTTAAACACGTTGATGAGCACGGTGGGTCTACGTAGAGGAGTTGGAAAATCGTCATTCCAAACCAATGGTGTACATGGGCTCTAGCAACCTGAGGAGACAAGTGGGTAATGAACCAGCTGTTGGTCACCGGCTATCACGGGACTGCATCTCCTTCCGTTGTTCTGCTGCCTTGTGGATCAGGCCTTTAGGTTGAAAGCTCCAGGTGTAGCCCCCTAATCAAACCACCTGTTTCTGTATGGGCGCTTGAGCTGTATCACAGCCCACACACAAATCAAGTGACTTATGTGGCGCATATTTATTCTGTGCTCCTGTATACCAATATTTATGTGTACAAATAAATTATTTATTAATTTATTTATTGAAATCAATTGAGACCACACTAAGAACAAAGAGACATCATAGATTATACTGTCAAAATATTCGAAGACGGTAAGATGGTGAACGCAGTGTAGAGCCACCTAGACTACTGGCCACATTACAACTCGATCGATAGCATTCGATCACCACTAAGAGGGACTTGACACGCATGACATTGATCGACACCCAATGCTCAATTAATTGTGATTCGAAGACGGTGTAAATATGAAGCCTAACTATAGATAGAAGTCAGGCAAACATCAATGATTTACATTTGGTTTATCTAACAGCATATATACTTAGAAGAGATCAGTAGATAAAGAGATGATCTTAAATTAGTGTTTTGATGTAACTTTTGAAGGATGCAATAATAAGGGGAAGTTTGTTAATAGAAATATGATTTTTAGTCAAACCTATTGAGAAATAACCCATAATAAATCATACTAAATATTATCAGCTTTATTCAATATTATATAATTGAGTACAATTAAGAATTCTCAGTGTTATATCCCAGTGAAGACATAAGTACATGTAACTTCCAATGAGAAGCAGTAACCAGTGGAGTTCAACCAGGTCTATTGTGAGGTACTAGCTCACTGAAGAAAATAGTGGACGGTTGTTCAAATTTCTAGATTAGTTGAAGTCAAACATTAACATCGTCGGATGCCTACTCAGTGGTCTATCGGTTAAGCGTTCGCGCGCGAGACTGATAGGTCCTGGGTTCGAATCTCATGATGCGGGATCGTGGATGCACACTGTTGAGGAGTCCCACAATAGGACGAAATGACCGTCCAGTGCTTCTAGATTTCCCATGGTGGTTTAGCTTCAATTGACTCATGATCTCAACTATATATATATTCTTATTGTTCAACTATTGAGTAATTAGATTGTGTACATCTATATTCATCTTATTATAAGCTTCATTTTGATCGACGGATTATTATTATACGAATTACTGTTCCAAAATTATACTCAGTTTATTGATTATTGTCTCCCACGTTCACAGCCATATTTGGCTTGACCATCTGCAAATATTATTTTCTATTTTATTGTGTGATGTGGTCTGTCTGTCTGATATATAAACCGAATTTGTCTGAAATAAATGATTGGCACAGCAGAAGCTGTAATTGGTGTTCTGGACTGAATTGGAAGGACTAGGCTGACAAGGGACCAATAAGGATGCTAGACTACTCATACTAGTCGAACGTCATTGATTTGGCACAGTGCTAGAATTAGACAAGTCGTATTCCGATTGGTGAATAAATCACATGATAAAAGTCGGACATAAAATCACAACAAATTGGAATACGGCCTTGTTCTTTCGTTTTTAAATTTATAACACTCAGCACAAAGTATTTCAACAATATTCCAGTTTCTAACTACTTGGTCAATCCTGACGATAAATAGTGAATGATCGCCAGTTAAAAGTTAACAATTTAGTCAATCGACATCTAAATAATCTACATTCTTTTCGCTGCATATTGCCTGCCAGTAAACACGATATCTCTGATTGAGCCTTTTGTAACTTGCACATTGAAAGGTTTTACGTTTTTTAGAAACGCGCTAAAATTAGAAAAATTGTTAAAATATCCAGATGGCAGGAACAGATAGTTCAGATATTCAAGCAGGCCGCCGTAGCATATGAAGTTAAATAATTCAAATGGATTGATAATGATACTTACATATATGAGTTGATTTAAGAGTAAGAATAAATGAAGTTATCATAGCCAAGTCAAATATTAGATAACCTTATTTTTAATTAGGGTTTTAATACCCCTCTAATCATG